TTTTGTTTTTTTTTTGTTTATTCCTCTTTTGTGTATTCCCTGTGCAAGGAATATTTTTACAAGTATTGTTGCCGCATCTCGGTTTTGTTGTGATTCTCTCTGTTGTTGCTTACTTTTACTCCGCTTCTTACTCTTCTTCATACTGCTGCTGCTGCTGCTGCTGCTGCTGTGATCAATTTGTGTTTACATGCAAATTAATTGGCGGTGCAATTAAAAATTGGCGTTGTGGTGTTTTTATTTTCTTCGGCCTCTGATGACAAACAACGGAGCGAATTGACTCTTGATGTTGCTGGCGCGATAATGGCAATAATGATGTTAACTACATATTGCAATGAGGGCGCTAATAATGACGTTGACAATTGAAGTTGCTGTTGTTGTACATGTGTACAGAAATGTTAGTGAAAGAAGCATCAAATATAGATACATATGTACATACTACACACTCGTATATATGAATATAAATACATACATAGTTATTTTTTTATAAAAAAAATTTGTATTCTGAATTATTTTCTATCGATACCTAAAACCATTGCCAATTCGAATATATGTATACTATAGACTCATATTGCATGAATGCAAATATCACTTTTTTAATGAATTTCCAAACTTGTATCTCTTATGAAAAAATAAATAAATAAAAATAAAACTCAATTTATAAGCTCGAGAAAAATCGCAAGAAATATTTTTCATTATTTCTGTTGCTTTAAAAAAAACACATTGCTTTCGCTATAAATATTTTCTTCAAGAAATAAATATACGAGCATTTTTTCTTGCGAGCTGCAAACTGATTCAAGAAAATTTGATAAAAGAAAATTTCTTTTTCAATCCATGTGCGTCAATTTATTGAATTTTTCGTTTTTCTTGAGAGCTGGAATCAGACCTATATTGTCAAAAAAAAAGGTAAGTGCGCCTGGGCCACACTGGAGAAGTGAAACTTACGTAACATATCTATTTTGTCTCATAACTACGGTGACCATATTTATGGGAGCCGAATATGGGACAAAAAATAATTTTGCATATTTTTTTGCAAAAAAAACCTACAGAGCTTAAAGCCATATTCAATGATCCTAGATGTATTATGCCTGAAACAGCATCCTTATAGTAACATCACAAATTTGTAGGATATTGTTCTCGAGATTCTTACCGCGCAAAATTTGTTTAAAAAGATTCGTTAAATTTAGTACAATAAAGTGCAATTTTGAAGCCGGTAGAACTTACCGTTAATTTTTGGCAGTTTTTTTTTTTAGACGGTGTTACAAATTTTTTTCATACAAAGTATGTTTGACAACTTTTTAAAAGAGAAGAAAATGAGCAGCACTTTCCACTTGTACTTTATTATACTAAATTTTAATGAGTTACAAAACTGCAAACCAAATTTTTTTTTAAGATTCTAACTAAAAAGTTTAAAATTCCAGTGAAATATTGCAGAATTAGTTTTTAGAGTTTTTTGCACAAGGTCTGAAATTTGGATTTATATGACTTTTGTTAAGAAAAGAGCTTTATTTTCATAAAAAAATAGTAAACATTAAATACACTAAAGACAAATAGCCAAACCTTGCTAAAATGTCGAGTCCTAATTTATATTTTGGACACTGTATGTATCCCTCGATTACAATCACAGTCATTCGGGTTAGAAAATAATAACTGTTTATGGAGAAAATTACGATCATACATATACCAGCATCTCTTAAAACTGGTTCATGGCATGCCATTTTAATGAGCTGTTAAGGCGTCGAAATACCGAACACCGAATACGGGACAAATGCAGGACATCAAAAGAAATACAGAACATTTGGCGTCCCGTACAAAATTAATAAATTACCAGGACAATTGGTCAAAAAAGAGGACTGTCCCGTATAATACAGGACGGATGGTCACCGTACTCATAACCAATATAACCCATTCAATTTTGGAATACTAAAGTGCAACTCTGAGGTAGCTAGGACTTACCAATGATTTTTGACAAATTTTTTTGCTGAAGGTGTCACTCATGTTCTCCGTATAAAAAAATTTTAGATTTTCGTAGTAAAGGACCATTAGTGCAAAAGATACCGCATTCGTATTATTACATATTTATACGAAGGAGCTTTCGTTTTCGTCGACAGTAATCGGGCTAGTTTGTAACAAGTAAGAAAGTCTAAGTTCGGGCGGAGCCGAACATTAAATACCCGGCGCAAGTATTAAATATATGTTTTCCACCTTTTCGAAAGCTACCGATACATGATAAGCCGGGGTATAAATTTTAAGTAAATTAGCGTCCTTAAATTTCGAAATATTGAAATTTCAAGCATTTCTGAAATTTACCGTTATATGAAAAGCGGCCTCAATTTTAGTCCGATTTCAACAATTTTCAACGGTTTGCTTTTATGTGGCAAGCACAATAACCATACCGAGCTTGGTACAAATTGCTAGAACGGTTAGCGAGATACATATATGTGATCACAAGTGGGCGGTACTACGCCCATTTTCCAAAATTTTGTCATAAACATATTTCTTGGTAAAGAATTGTTGCAACCATCAATTTTGAATAAATTAGCTTCAATATTTACTGATTTATCGAAGATTTGGTATTTCTCGAAATTACCGTTATATGGGATGTGGGCGTGGTTATTGTCCGATTTTAGAAATTTTCGGCCATTTGGTATGCTGTACCAGGACCAACAACTGTGCCAAGCTTGGAAGAAATTGGTGTAGCGGTTACCAAGAAATACACATGTAACCATAAGTGGGCGTGGGTACGCCCATTTGCCAAAATTTTGTAATATTCTTATTTTTCGTCTAAAACTCATTGCAAATATCAATTTTGAGTGAATTATCTTCAGTAGTTACTAAAATATCGCAGTTTTGAAAATTACCGTTATATGGGAGGTAGGCGTGGTTATTGTCCGATTTCGCCCATTTTCAATACCATCCGTCCTACGCCCAAAAGAAGTTCACGTACCAAGTTTCGTTAAGATATCTCAATTTTTACTCGAGTTATCGTGTGCACAGACGGACGGACGGACAGACAGTCACCGCTTAATCGATTTCTCTTTTCATTCCGATCATTTATGTATACATTTGTCTATATCTATCTCGATTCGTTTTGCCTGTTACAAACAACCGTTATGTGAACAAAGTTATAATACCCTTGTGCACAAGTGCGCTCGGGTATAAAAATGTTTGTTAGGAGGCGCAATTGAATGGAAGTGATTGCTAATGTTTCAATTCCCCGTTTTCAAACAACAAACTGAAATTGTTGTTGTTGTTGTTGTGAAATTTTGTTGTTACAATTAATAAAAATGTTGGACCATAACATAAATTTGTCTGAAGTGCATGCCACAAGTTTTTGACAACAAATAAACATTTGACGGAACAACTTCGCTGGCATCATGTTGCTGGCATTTAAAAGCATGTTACTAAACAAAGCAGCAACGCATGTAAGAACAGAGACGCTAGCAGCGGCAGCAACGTTACTGTACGCTGTACAGCTCTTAACAGTCTGCTGTTAGCTGACAACTGTTACCAAAGATACGTTAACAGTGGTTTCGTGCAAGCCGGATTTTTATTTTACTAAAGAGCGTGTCAGACGTGGCAATATATTTCGATGCAATAAATTTCGGAAAGGCTGTCAAATTGAGAAATCAGTTGCATGAGCAGTCACACCTTGCATGGAAAGTGTCTTTCGAAAGAGGTTTTTATTTCCGAACGGCGAATTGCAGGAAAAATTTCTGAAATCGCTTTTTGGCTGTTCACACAGCGAATGAGTTTCTGGCAATCTTTCTCGATACTAAAATGCAACCATGGGCGGTGGGGTTGTCGTTTGTTTGCTATTTCTCTTGTAAAAGCGAGAAAATATAGGTTATAATTAACATATTTGTCGTGTAAACAATAATTTAACAATTAAGTGTATTAAGCAAAATAATATATTTCAAGCATTTTTGATATTTAATTCAACAATATTTTTTATCATTTTACACAAATTCACGATCAGGGCCACACGGCAACACTCGATTAGTTCGACAGCACTTGCAGAAGAAATAAAAATTGCTAGTGCAGCACGAGCAAGTTGAAATATATTTCCGAAATCGATTTTCGCTCTTGCAGTTGCAGTCCCACCTTGCAACTTTTATTTCTGAAACTGATTTCCGAAAGGTGACAGAAAGATCTTTCTGGCTGTTCACACATCGAAATAAAATTTCTCTTTCTCAATTTGACAGCGAATTGCGCGCTGGGCAGGCAATAATGGCAAACCTCCGAGTGTATTTCCGCTGAGAAAAAATTTCTCACAAAACCATTTGCCGTTCGGAGACGGCGTAAAATTGTGAACCCCCCATTTGTGTTATAACAGAAGGACGCACACCACAAATTGGAGGAGAAGCTCGACCGAAAATTTAACGCAAGTGATAGCGCCAAAATATTATGATTACGAGTATTATGGTTAGCAAGTTCTTAAGATTGACGATCCGTCTGCGATCAGTAAAAAACCACTGAGCATTCTCCATTCTCGAAAAGGTTTCCATGCGTTTTGTGTTTTTGCGTTTCTAGAGGCGCCACTCGCAGTGGTGGTCAGGGTCATCGTATCACTTCGCAGAATCGATTCCTGGTTCGAGTCATATTCAACGAAAAGCTTTTCTAAAGCAGGCGTTCCTCAGCATGCAATGGCAAATCTCTGCGTGCATTTGCAGTCAAGAAAAACTTTCGCATAAAACCCGTCTGCCGTTCAGAGTTGTGTAACAACATTATGGCAATTACCACAAGTTAAAGGAGAAGATCGACCAAATATTTAGAGAAACAAATTTTGCGCACACATTGGCAACACTGCACTTACATATGTAGTTCTTATTATTGGATCGTGTGGTTTCTCATTCGTTACAATTGTGATGACAAATGCGAACGTGAATGGGAGCGTGAGCACATGCACCACGAATAGCAGCACTTCGTTTATCTACTACGGCGGTCGCGGCAGACTGCTCCAACTTGGCGCTCGCTCATATCGTTGAGTGCGACCAAAAACGACGCCAAATTGGACACAGCCAGCCACCGTCAATGTCGTTCACCAGTGTAGGAAGAGTGCTGTTGTGCAGCAGCAACATAAGGTCGTGCAATAATAGCGAAAAATTTAAAAATCGAACCAGCAAACGCATGAAAAAACTGGGTACATATTAAATTGACTAAAGCCGAACAAGACTAAAACAACACCAAACGAATTTCGAAGCGACTACTTTTTAACATTAACTGCCCAACTGTGGCAAAAAACTCATCAACTATGGCCAAGACAGCAACGTTAATGTTTGCCTACAGAGCGCTGTACATTACGAGTGCGATGCGAAGCCCAGTACGGCGTTGTTAAGCAAAGGTGGACAGAGCAGAACAACAGCGCAACAACTCAGTCTCCCTCGATATCTGTGAGCTTGAGTGTGTGTGCGGTGTGGCGAATGAGTTCTCCCAGTATCTTAATATCTTGCTGGCTTTCTTGTGAGCATAGTGAGCACACACTAATCGACGACGGACCGACCGATCGCATAAGCGTAAGCGGCCAAGCAAGCAACAACCGACAGACAGCGAACTCAGACGGCAGCGACAACAGCGCAACAGCAACTATACCGACTAGTAGAAGAAAAAAAAACAAAAAAAAAAAAGAGTTTTTCATTTGAGCGCGTTCGCTGAGGGGTTTATTTATTCAGCGATCGATCCCGTGTGTGGACACTGTTTTCCGCAGCGTTCGCAAAGGAGCACACGACGAAATAAAACGCGATACCAACGTCAAGTGAAACAAATCGATTCGAGTGCTGTCCGTACATTCGTAACAATTATAAAGTCTAATAAAAGTTAAACGCTGTTTTATTTTTTCCATTAAAGTCAAATAACTCGACGCAGGTTCTTGAAATGATTCGCGTGCAAAGCGATTTTTTTTTTTGCATGTGAACAATTAAAAGTGAAATGTCAATTATTGAATAATAAATGCGTGCATTTAAATGATTTTTAACCGGAAGAAAGATTGAAGTGGCCGCGAAAACTAAAACTAAAACTAAATATTCAGGCGTTTTATCGGATTTAAGATACCAGACATAGCAAACGCAAACGCATGCCGGCGGCATACAAATTACTGCAAGCTATTCAAATGCAAAGAATCGCAAAAGCCTCGTCAGTAGTCAACCAGTCGGTTAATAACATACATACATAAATAGTCGGTGGGTTTTGCTTCGAACTTTTCTTTTCCATAAGCAGCTGAAAATTTTTCTAAAGACCTTTTTTTTATTTTTTTGTCTTCTCTTTAATCAAAGTCTCGCGAAGAACCAAAATCGAGCATAAAAACACAGTGGCAAAACATTGTGCTTAATTAAAGAAAATACATATTTAAAAATAAACTGTATAATTCAAAAAAATTTGTGCGGGCGAAAGAGCGAAGGCGAAAAAAAGCAGGAAGACGCGTACGAAACAGCGACGGCAAATCGCTAAAGAAAAAGCACTAAGAACACTTCAAAAATATTCGTATCTTCTACTAAAACTAAAACAAATGAACAATTCCGAAAGGGCCTAAATCATCTACAAAACTTTTGTTTTAGGTATACATAATTCATTGATAAAGCGAGTACAGCAAGCAGTGTGGGTACAGAGTCAGCGCCGGAGAGCGCGCGTAGCAAAGTTTGCGGAGGACTTTTATATAGAGCAAACTAGAGCGCTTAGCTAGAAGCAATAGCAGAAATTTATTAATTCGTATAACTTGGCTGAAGTGTTATCTAATCTGCACGAGCATTATTTGCTCGTCTCGCACACTACCCACCCATCCACCACCACCACCTCCTAGCAAAAGCGGCCCAACAACACGACAACTTAGTACATCTGCACACAGAGTACGACGTAGCAAACAATATTAACCATACCAACGATAACAACAACAACAGCAAAAAAGGCATCGACAACACAAACAACCTGCTTGCCATCCGCGCGCGCGGTACGCAACAAAGTCAGCCGCAGAGTTAGTTGTTATACGCTCATTCATTCACTCACTCAGTCAGTCAGTCAGTTAGTCAGTTAGTTAGTCGATGTCAGACGGCGAACGTATTTGTAGGAATATTTTTGTTTTGTGACAATCACTAGGCCAAGTAGCGTGAACTTCGTGTTTTTTTCTAGGTGCGTGCGAGATACTGTGAAAGCGCCAAAACGATCGCTTGGCAGTCATAGCAGTCATAGGGGTTACACAAGTGTATCTATCGCCAATTAATCTTACTACCCCTACAAGTGTGCGCCTTTAGATTTGAAGAGCAATAATTTTCAAACGTAAAAAGCTATAAATTTAAAAAAAAAACTGTGCAGTGTAAAAGGTGTTAAGGAGCACACAAGTGCAATCTTCACAATTGTCGCGCAGAATTGAATAATATTTAACAGCAAAAAAGTGACAGCGAAGAGCAGCGAAAACAGCAACGACCACATATCGATTAAAATAATAAAAATAATAATACTTCATAATATTAAAATAAGAGTAGCTTAAACAAATCACGAATCACACAAAATGGCCATCATTAGCAGTACAAAAACGTCGACGTCGAGTGCGACACCAACCACCACGACCACCGCGACCACATCCGACAGTTCATCCAGATCCAGAACGAGCGCCGTCGCGTGCGCTGCCACCAAGCTAGACACCACTAACACTCTGAATATGCGAAAATCGAGAAATACAACAGTGGCAACGGCTGCATCATCGTCGTCGTCCAGAGCATATTTTCCAGCATTACACACATCAACACCGATAGCAACAACAAGAGCAGCAGCCGTTGTTACAGGAAAATCAGCGTCGCCAACACCATCATTATCGGCAACAGATTCTAATACAACAGCAACAGCAACAACAACCTCCGTACCAACATTCAATCTGCTGTACAAATTCATCATATTTGCCATACTGATTTGCACAACGCCAACGTTGGCTAGTGGTCGACGGCATGCGCCGCTTATGGTGGAAGAACCGGAGGGAACACGTCGAAATAATAGACCAGTTGGTAAGTTAACTACATACATACATACTTAGTTCTTAACATTTTAGTTTAGTAAACTACTATATATATATATATATGTATATAGGGACATAGTTGCTAAGAGAGTAATTACTTAGGACACAAAAGCATACATATGTGAGTAAGCGATGAGGTAACCAATGATTTAAATATGTGGGACCAAGAAGAAGAGGAAACCGATTTTCAAAATGCTGGGTTCTGTAAATTAAGAATGTGATTTAAAATGCAGTTTAGCTGTTTAGACATACAAAATATATATATTTGAAAACTTAAAAAATAGGAAATCCCATGGCAAATGGACATCAACCAATCTATTCTAGAGATAGAGGCACGGGCTTTTGGCATGGAAAGCGAGAAAATTTTGAAAATCTCTAAGAAAATTAAAACATATTATAAGTGTATGCCTCAAATTTTCTATGAAAAAATTTTTCATGAAACTTTTCTTGTGTAAAAAATAATAGCTATGGTTAATTTTTGCGTTAAAGTAAATATTTCTTGTGGAGTTAAATACATATAATCCGTGCCCAATCGGGTTCGGTCGTTCCGGGTCAGGACTCACCTTTTTCTCCGTGTGTGTTTTCGAATATGTGTTCTTCAAAACACAAATTTTCTAAGGAGTGAATAATGTTAAAACGGGAATTGTTTTAGATTAAAATATGTTCAATTGCATTCATAAAAATTCGTTCCCTTGCAGAACTTTCTAAATAACTAATTTTCCTTTTTTTTTCATTATAATGCATAATGGAAATTCGGCATTATTTTTTGAACCTCCATCTATCGTCAATGTAATGCGAGACGGGACAGGAATACTAATACACATACCTACATGCACACACACATTCATACATATTCAATTGAAGCATAAAGAAACCCAGGGAAAACCTTACCTTCGGAATTACCTGCGGTAACTTAAGCAAATCCAGTTGGGTATTCCCAAAGGCATCTGGAAATCGGAAAGTTTTGTCATTAAGTCAAAACGCCCACAAAACAATCGAATCACTCACTCGAATGTGTCTTTGCCTGGTTGACCTAAACAATTTCGTTCAATACCTGCCCATGAAGTTTGCATTTTACATATTTAAGTACATACATACTTACATACATATCTATGTCCAAATGTGGAATTGCATGTAGTCTGAGTGTTGTTTTCTGCACGCGTTGTTTTGTGACCAGTTCCGACCAAAAAGAAAATAAAATTGATGTATGTATGATACATATGTTTGTACGCCCTAATACATTTTCGCTTATTGTATGTGATACATACATATGTACTTCCTATGAACTTCTTTAGCCAAGCATAATTGCGGTATTTTCCCACAAGCCCACGCAGTTACTAGCGCAACCATTGGCTAAGCAACTTTCGAGCTACTCACATACATACATAAAATTGTACCTACATACCTGTGCGCAGAAAATAATCACGCCCGGGTCTTCCGTGCATGCGGACGCATCTATGGATTTATGCAGATACATACATTTGTATGTATGTATGTATGTCCTGCGTTACTTTTGACACACAAATGTTAGAGCGGTTTCATTGAAAAAAACAAAAAAACGCAGCTGCAGTTGCATACCGGTGACCTGTGCCAACGATAGGTCACACACAACAACAACGTTGGGCTTCTTGCTACATTAGCAATGCGGAAAATTGGGAATTCCCAAACGAATGTATGTATGTATCTACATATGTATGTATGTGCGTGCACAGCAGGAAGTCGACCCAAAGCAATGTAGAAATGTATTGTTTTTTTGCCGCGGAGTCGCTGCACGTCTATTCACATTGCAACGCATATCCATTTGTATGTAAGTGCATATGTATGTATGTATATATGTACGAACCTTTGATTGGCACTGTGCGTAGCCTCTAGTTTTGTTGTTGCTTGCTGCCGTACGTACTTGACAGACAGTGAGACGTCAACGTGACAGGTTTTCCTAGCGCTTACCGCCGGCTCAATAGCAGCCAACAAAGAAAACCACTTTTTTTGTTCACATTTACGTATGTACGTACATACATACTTACATATGTGTGTGTGTATGTACATACATATGTCTAAAGTCTTTCCATCGTTTTAAGGCAATGCTTCCAGGCGTTTTAAAACATTAATTTAATTTCTTATTAATTTCATTTCCGTGCAATCCCGCATGTGGCCATTATGTCGCCGCAGCATAAGCTCCGCATAAGGCCATTATCTGAGGTGTCTTGTCCTACATGTGTACATACATATGTACATATGTATGTAAGTACTAACATGCGCAGAGATTAGATGCCATAGCGCTCCAACGGCTGTGCGATTAAACGGCTGGTATTTAAGCGTCTTTAACGACTGTGCGCCGCCGGGTCTCTATTTTCATTTACACAGCGGCCTACTGGTCGGTCGGTCGGTCGGTCTATGCATTCCTTTGAGATTTTATTGTAAATGCGTGTTGTGTTGTGTTCGACTTGTCGACTTGTAAGAGTCCCACAAAAGTCGTAACGGGTGGAATTTCTTTCATTCTTTTCATTTGTGCTGCATTTTGCTCGGTGGCGTTGTGGTTTTTTTTTTTTTTTGTTTGCTTATTTATTCAACGGTGCCGAAGTGTCTACCTTTAGTTTTCCACAAGCTTTTCTTGGACTCCACACGCTGTATGTACACACAAATGTATAGTATATTAGTACTTAATGCCATTCTTCTCGCACGTTTCTTTCACATTAGACGAATTCTTTGTTTAAATTGTTCGTGTTTTTTAAGCATGAGCTGTTTTTCGGACAGACATCTGTTTGTTTGTTTGTTTGCACCTTTCATCGTGTAGAAACGTTTATCTCCAACAAATCTACATTTCCTGTGAAAATTCATGCGAGTTGAGAATCTGATCGCTTAGGAGGTGATCAACGCGCTGCATCAATTGGGTTGCTAATGCTTTGAATTTCGCTATCAGATTCTCCAGGCTCCGGCATATACTCTACTATATAGGTTCATATGTACGTATACCATATACATACTGCATACATATGTACATATAGGTGTGTAGGGTATAGTTTTCACCAATATTTTGTATGCCGTTTGTGGCGCTTTTGGTGACCTGAGTCGAGAGCGCAATGCAATGAGGTATACATACGTATATGTACATATGTATGTATGTGCATCTAAATGTAAGCCCCTACACACAAATATTTTACATATACATAGGTACACAAGATAATTGCAATTAGAGCAGCTGTCGTTCAACTCATTTTCTTCGTTGGTTGGGGTTCGCAGAAATCATTGATGCGTGTCTTGTTGTATATGTACTCTGACCGCCCGCCCGTCCGTCTGCCATCTATGCAGCACTATATGTACCTTTACCGACTTGATCCGATAATTGCGCTAAGTATGAAACACTGAGCGATTAATAGGAATTTAGGTAATCTTTTCACATTTCAATTATGGATTCATTTATGAGAAGCGAATTTCTAATTACACTGCGTCGCCATTGGCGTCGTATTAGTGATTTTCATAATCCCAACCATCTTTTCAACTCCGACGAAAAGAAATCACCAGTGGAAATTATTTCTATGCGCGTCAATGCTCTAGGAAATATTTCCACCCTGCCACACTTTTCAATCGCGCACTGAATTCGAAAATCTAAACTGTACATACTCTTCTTTGTGGTATTTTCGAACTCCCGCTCCGTCGATTGTCCACGGAAATTGCGTAATCGATACGTTTGCCTGAATGCGTTCCCCTAGCCCCGCTGGATCGGCAATATGTGGAATGGCGGGTGTTTTTTCTGGCCGTCTGGGAATAAAAACGCCAGTCCACCTGACAGATTTCGTAGAAGTTTTGCCAGACAGAAATATTTGCTATCGCTGAGGGATGTCGCATTGTAAGCATAGTTATTTACTACAGCTCCACATAATATAAAAGTAAATAAATATACATATAAGAATATATTCACTTACATACATTGTATGGATGCATGCGTAGTATGATTTTTTTATTTATTATTTTTCTTTTTGCTGTAGGCGAACGGGTTCGCCACGCGAATAATGATTTCCTCTCCCATTATCATTACCTTCCGCTGTGAGCTTTTTTCGATTCTTCGTTTTTTTTATTTAAATTATGAATGAGCGAATCTATCAATGAAATCGGGTGGCCACGCAACTACGCACTTACACATACATATACATACTATATATACATACACACACACACACATTCGCGCGTTTGCGCTCCGATCAAACCATTCAATTCATTCAATCGACCGACTAACCAACCGTTCGTCCCACTATGCATTTGATTCAGTTTGAGCAAACCAGATTTAATAAACGAAATGAAATGGAATAAGACAAAGCAGCGAAAAAAGAATCGTAATAAAGCTATATATCAAGCAAGCATTAAAGTGCCAAGCACCGGCTACGCACTTTTGCATTTTTTTTTGTTGTGTTGTTGTGTGCTTTGTTGGCGCTTTGTGGTGCTTTTTGGCTTGCGGCTGTTGGTGTTAAATTAATGAATTGATTTTCGACTTTTCGTGGATGTTTTGTATTGAAATTTTGATTTGTTGTTTAGTTGTTATGTCCATGGCTTACCACGCAACACTTCGGTTCATTCATTTATTCATTCATTCATCGCTCCACATACATACATATGTACATATGTATGTATGTATGTATGTAAATACAAGCATTTGTATAAACAAACATTGGAGCAAAGGGGGTTTTGAGTGGTCGTCGTGCAGACCGGCGTACACAAAAACACACACACCTCAGCAGGCTGCGTCGGAAGCGCAGACTGATAGGCAGCAAGGCGCTCGATTGTACTTACATACATACATATGTACGCACACACATGCATACATACGATATATGTAAACGTTAATAAGTCAACCTTACAACCGCCTAATTGTACGGCCGGACGGATGTTGAGACAGGCGACAACCCGCCGCCAATCAACAATCATCGGTCGTTGCTCGTCGCCTGTCGCCAATTGCCATTTGCCATTTGCCATTGCAATTGAGGAGGTGTTAAA